AAGAAAAACAAGTTTCGATTCTTGCTAATGTAAGAACACTCGATGAAGGATTCTAAAAAATATTTTTCGATTTTCGGTGTGGAAGGTCATTTTACAAAAAGTATTAACAAATAGGGATGCGATGTTTCAAAAGTTATACTTCACAAAAGACTATTTTTGACGCATTGACTTTTTATTACCTAAAAATTACAAGTTTCATACTCAATAGTGTGCGTAAACAGGGGAAAAACAGCAATCGGCAGCAGAGAAGCATTCGATAATTCCTATAGCCAAACGCTGAAAGTTGCGAAGCCCTCAAAAAAAAACACAGCTTTATCCGGAAAACGGGGGACTTCCCCGGGGCGGCGTTTTGCATTTTGGAGGGTAGGGGGTGCCCCTACCCGCCGAAATACATTATAAATTTCGCGCCGTCCGATTCCACAATGGCCACAGGAAAGTGCACACTTTTTGGGCATCAAAACTTGCAAATTGTCGCTGCTAGCCTGCCCTGGGGGCTGCGGAGAAACCAAAATTCCGCAAATTGTCTCTGCTGGCCTGCCCTGGGGGTGTGGATAGGTCAAAACCCCGCAAATTGTCTCTGCTAGCTTGCCCTGGAGGACTTTGGAAGACCAAAATTCCGCAAATCGTCTCTGCTGGCCTGCCTTCGAGGACTGTGGATCCGCCAAAATTCCGCAAATCGCCTCTGCTGGCCCGCCTCACTGTATGTCTGCGAATTCGAGCTGGGCAAGCTAGCGGAAACCCCTTGAAGGCAGCAGGCTAGCTGGCAAAGATAATTTCAGAGATACATATTCCGGCGAATCCTTATTATAAAAACAGCTATGCGCCAGATCCCTAAATTCCGTAAAACAAATGTTCCGTAAAAATGAAGATATAAAATGTTAAATTGAAAAGTCGTTCTGTGCTGAAAATTGTTTCTAAAAAAGGGTAAAAATTCAGGAAGCCGCAATGTTTTTGGGGCAAAGATTTTTGCTGCTGAGAAATTTTTATGTTTCTTATAATTTAGAGGCTAAAAATTTTAGAAACACTGTAATGAGCGGAACGACGATTCATTTGATTTACACTAGATTTTTTCTAGATATTTGAATATTTAAAGTAGCTCATTTTGATTTTGTCGAAAATCTTTGTAGAAATATCAGTTTTTCGAAATTTCACTGCCGTTTCGCTTCGATTATTCGTTCCAAACATTTCGCAAGTTGAAATTTCGACAAAACGAAATTACGAAAACATGAATTTCGAGAAAATCATCGCAAATCGTGACTTTTAAGTGAGGATTTAAATCTAATGGCAGTCTAGCAGAGGTAATTTGACGAATTGTGGCCCTTCAAAAGCTCGGCAGGATAGGCTAGCAGCGACAATTTGTGGAAATCTGGCCTCTAAACGTCATAGGGCAGGCTAGCAGAGACAATTTGAGAAATTGTGGCCCAGGGTAAGCTAGCAGAGACAATTTGGAACCGTGCGGTATCAAAGTCGGGCCCAAATTCCTTGGCGGCGGGAAGGAAGACGCGGAAGAAGCACATAAAATCACATAAATGAGGAGCGGCTGCGGGGCCCTGACGAGGGCATAGCCCCCAAAGCAAAGGGCCCAGTTGGAAGGGCCCCCGGGCCCTTCCAACCCACTAATGCCACCCAGGCCGGGGCTCGGGGTGGGATGGGCAACATGTGACCCCCGCGGGCCACAGGTGAGGGTATAAATCTTGGGTACTGGTCTCTTAGCGGGGGGAGGGGTGTTTAGCGGACGTATGAAATTTTTCACTAACCCGTTCGCTCATTTAGCAAAAGAAAAATTTTTTTGATGGCATTATTGCACCATTTTTGCTATAAAAACTCATTAAAATCTATGAATCATCGAAAATTTTTTACTTTTTCGCAAAAATCTATCAAAAATTACCACAAATTTTTTTCTCGTATAAAATGTTTGAAAATAAAATGAGCAAGAATCAAAAAGCTATGAAAATTTTCGATTATTCAAAATTAAAAAATATTTTTTGAGCTTCTAGCAATCGAAAACTATTAAAAACACTATAACAATCCATTTTACCAACAGAGAGCTAGAAGATATGAGCGGGAAAATATAAATTAGTTTTCCGCCACGCTAAACCCCTCCCCCGCTAGCAGCCCAGTACCAAATTTTGGGACAAGGACCATGTGACGCCAATGAACGTAGATTTTAGCGTTAAAAAAACAAAAATTCCCAAATCTTCTCTGCTAGAACGAGGCAGGATTGATCTTTAAGCCAGCCAATCGCTCGGAGTTTTTCCAGAAACATAGAATTCTAATATTCGCGAAAAATGGTTGTTTTGTGTCTGAAATTGGCCTGGTCATAAATCGGGGATGCCGAATGAGTAGCAGCACTGAACGACAAGTTGTCACTTTGGATTCGGTATGCATTCCTTGAAAGGGAGGGAATACGATAATGATCTCGGGAAACGAGCGAGCAGGACGGGAAAGGGGACGCTAGCAGAGATCATTCGGGAATTGGAAAAACCAAAAATACCACCAAAATCCATTAAAAGATTAAGAGGCAAGCTGCGAAGAGCGACCCAGGGGTAAACCAAAGCCGAAGCCTGGAAATCGCCGCAAACCATCAACAATCTCTGCTAGCCTGCCCTCTCCTCTTCCTCAACAATCTCTGCTAGCCTGCCCTCTCCTCTCCCTCAACAATCTCTGCAAGCCTGCCCTCTCCTCTTCCTCAACAATCTCTGCTAGCCTGCCCTCTCCTCTTCCTCAACAATCTCTGCTAGCCTGCCCTCTCCTCTTCCTCAACAATCTCTGCTAGCCTGCCCTCTCCTCTTCCTCAACAATCTCTGCAAGCCTGCCCTCTCCTCTTCCTCAACATTCTCTGCTAGCTTGCCCTTTCCTCTTCCTCAACAATCTCTGCTAGCCTGCCCTCTCCTCTTCCTCAACAATCTCTGCTAGCCTGACCTCTCCTTTTCCTCAACAATCTCTGCTAGCCTGCCGCTCCTTTTCCTCAAAAATCTCTGCTGGCCCACCTGTAGCGAAAATCCATTAGCGTAGCATTTAATTTGATAATCAAAAACCGCCAGTACCTCCAGTGTGCCGGTGGAGGGATTAGATGGTTGTCTTCTTGGGCCCTTGGGCCCCAAGGAAACGTCCGACACCGGGAACTCATTTCGGGCCGCCGGGCGCGGGTCCCCGATATGATTCGATTCGGGATTTGGCTTCGCGGGCGCGCCGGCTCGGCTTTTTCTGCATTTTTCTCTGCTTAAAGGCACTCGGTAGGCTAGAGTTTGCTGGCGAAACAAAGGCCGTCTGCTAGTCTGCCGTGAGGCCACAATTCCTCACTTGTCTTTGCAAGCTTGCCCATAAAATTCTAATGTTTATAATCTGACCCCTTTGACCAGGCAAGTTAAACAGTCGTTCTTTTTCTGCTTCTAGAAGATAAACAACGCTATTGTTCACCCCTTTCCAGGTCGCCCCCTACTTAATATTCATTTTTTATTGTTTTTAGTTGTTTTCCACAAACACCCCCTGTTGTTTCTCACGCCTTATTGTGCGCCCCGCGGGAACGGTATTTATACTGTCGTTTTCAGCACTGATTTGATCCTGGTAAATGTCGATTTTTTTTCCTGAATTTCTTTATGCATTAATAGCTATTTACTTATACATACTACTACTCAGATTCTACTACTTTTTATTGCGCATAGGAAGGCGCACGTATTAACAGAAAACAAGATTTGTTGAAAATTGTCGTTTTCCATACCAATTTCCTCGCATATATCGAAAATTTTAAATTTCAGGAATTTTCTATTTTTTGTGATAATTTTTAAAGGTTTGAAATGGGCCAATCAGCTTGGTGAAATTTCATTTGTTATGCAACTTTTGAAAAATGGTCAGAGAAATTTTTTCTGGCGATTCGCTTTGGCTAATTGTTTTTAACAAATCCTACCAATAGGGCGCGAAACCTGAAACATAGTTTCAAAATGAATATCTTGTTTCCCGGGAATTTTCTTGCCTATTTACATTTTTTTTCTAGAAAAATGAGCCAATAATTTTCTCGAGCCACGTATTTCGGGTTATTGATTATACAAAAAGCTACTGCTGGTGCTCGAGCCGTGAAACATAGTTTTCAAAATTAATCGCCGCAATTAACAGCTCAATTTGACGGCTGCTACCCTTCCTTTAAAGGGATGCCCAACCTTTTCGGGGATCAAAAAGCAAAAACCACGCCGCGGGCGGGAGTCGAACCCGGAACCCCCGTTTTGTAGGCCAGGATGCTATCCATTAGGCCATCGTGGCAAGTCATTGGGTGGGATGGGGACGCCACAAGAGGGAAAGGTGTCCGAATTTTGTGCGGCACTGGCGCCTCATTGCCACGAAATTCCCGCGTCATTTGTACTGCCCGGAACACATAACTATATATTTGCCACCAAAACCTTGGGTATCCCTTTAAAGCTGCAGGCAATGCCATGCACCCTATGCATTTTGCCGAAACTTGAAGCCTATTCCCCCCCCCCCCCCCCATCTGTTGTTTTCTCCTATGTTCTTCCAGGCGAAAAACAAAGAAAAAGCAGCGCCCCGCTTTTTTTTCTTTCTTTTTATTGTGTGTTTTTCCACCATGACTCATTATTCGGTTTCTCTTCCGCCGAGAATGCGAAAAAATCAGCGCCTATACAAAAATAGTCCACAATTTTTCCATTTTCTCCTGCTCATTATTTGGACGAAAGCTTACAAATTCTCGCGGAATTCGCTAGCCTTATCAATCGCCACCCCATATCAACCAGCTCGGAATGCTAGGGCAATGCTATTATAGAGCAAAGAATTACTCCTGCACCCCGAAATACGCGCCTAAGAATCTCCGCTAGCCTGCCCTCTCCTCTTCCTCAACAATCTCTGCTAGCCTGCCCTCTCCACTTCTTCAACAATCTCTACTAGCCTGCCCTCTCCTCTTCCTCAACAATCTCTGCCAGTCTGCCCTCTCCTCTTCCTCAACAATCTCTGCTAGCCTCCTGTCCGGCGTGTAAAAATTTTTATTTCAGGAAATGTTCTTTCTTACTATCCTCTGCATATCAATACTGTTACCGATATGCGTTGATGCTCAACCGAGGTAAAACACAACTTTTCTGGTATTTTAGTGGAATGCAATCGTCAAGAACATCAAATTTTCTAAAAATATGTTTTGCACAAGGTGCACTTTCGGAATAAATCAGCATTTAATTGATGTGCGTAGGCAACGGTATTCAAAAAAATTACATAACCTTGCTTATTTCAGCTTCCGCGTCATGACGTTCAACATTTGGAACTGCGGCGGGAACGTGAACGATGGGGTGGCGAAGATCGCAAAGCATATTCTGCTGGTTAACCCAGATATTGTGGCAATGCAGGTGAGCTGATTTTAGGGAGGCAACTTTATAACGGCAACTTACTGCCTATGCTAACAGGCCCCAATTCTGGCTCTTGCATATTTTTATTAAAATTTAACTTATTGAGCCGGAATCCCTTTTTAAAAATTCGAAAAAGAGGTTTTTCGGCAAAAATGATCGTTTTTGACCAAAATTACGACTATTGAGAAATTTTTGAAGCGTTTTTCTAATCGAAAAACCGGTTTTTTTTTGAGGAAAAAGATGATTCAAATACTTCCGATTAAGTTACTAGGCATTTGAAGACTTATACGAAAAAATTTTGGTCCCCCCGATAATGCGAAGGAAACGACATTTGCACACAAACGCGTTCTCTCTCTCTTCCCTCTCTCTCTCTCTCTCTCTCTCTCTCTCTCTCTCTCTCTCTCCCTCTCATCCCTCTCTAGCTTTCTCCAGCTCTGATTTTCCCTAAAGATCTCTGCAGAGCTGTCTTTTCCTCGCGAATTGCTGCTTGCCCTCTCCCTATTCCTCAAAGCTCTCTGCTAGACCCCCGTTCTGTTCCGAAAGAATCCCTGCTAGCCTGCCCTTAAACCCACTAATCCCTTAAGGAGGTCGAGTACGAGAAATGCGCCGAGAATATCACCCAATATCTGCCCTCCAGCTGGCATTTCGTGCACCCCGATCGTGATTATCCGGATGTCATGATCCTCACAAAGCATAAGGTGGGTCTGGTTTCCTCAAATAATTTCTGCTAGCCTGCTTGGGAGGATCTGGAGTGCAAAATCTCCTCAAATTGTCTCTGCTGGCCGGCATGGATTCCTAAAAGGTAAAATTTAGATTGTTGAAGTCGTTTCGCACAAAGATGACGCGTACATCTACGCGAAAGTCGAGCTCCCCGGCGAGAACCACGTCAACTTCTGGTCGGTGCACGCGGAGGCAAGGTCGGTGGCGGGCTAGCAGAGATTCTTGCGGAAATTTGAGCCGGGCAGGCTAGCAGAGGCATGCCAGTAGCTTCCGCTAGGAGCTGGGAGCCAGGAGTTTGGACTTGGAGCTAGGAGCTTAGGAAACCCTAAGAAAGGCAGGCTAGCAGATATTCTTAAGGAATCCAATTTCCGCAAAGGCATGCTAGCATTTTCGCAATTTAGAGCCTACGGTCCCTACCTCGCCTACAACAAGCTGGTCACCAACCTCTCGCAGATTCTCAGCGCCGAACATGCCGGGAAGGAAGGTGAGAGAGAGAGAGAGAGAGAGACAGAGACAGAGAGAGAGAGAGGTGCAAATAACTATTTCTCCAGGCCGTGCCGAAGAGCTTGGTGGCCTCTTGGCCAGCCCAGAGATGGCAGCAGCCCTGAAAATCGTCGATCAAGTCCCAATCGTAGTCGCTGGAGACTTCAACGTCCCTAGCCATCAAGACTGGGGAGAGGACACAAAGTAATCAGACGTTCCAGTACCTTTAAAAACGACATAGGATTTATTTATTTTTAATTAATTTAATTTAATTATTATTTATTTGTCTCTGTATCTGTATGTCCTAATTGGCTTAATTTTTGCAGGTTGATCCATGGGGGCTGGGCAGTGCCATGGCCAACCACCAAAGAGTTGACCGATCAGGGATTCGTGGATAGCTACCGCGCCCTGTTTCCGGATCCGGTCAAAGATCCGGGTGAGTGAAAGACGACAGAGATTGTTGAGGAAGAGGAGAGGGCAGGCTTAGTGTTGGTTTTTTACCGGTACCGAAACCCAGTACCGGTACCGAACCCCCCTCGGGTACCGCGGTACTCGGCGGGTACCGGTACCGAACATCGGTACCGGGGCCCGGTACCGGTACTTTGTTGGTACTGACGGCATCTGTACTTTTCCGGTACCGGTACCAGGTGAGTACCGAAGGCATCTGTACTTTTTCGGTACCGGTACCAAGTGAGTACCGAAGGCATCGGTACCTTTCCGGTACCGGTACCAAACCGACCGGTAACGGTACTGCGGGCCGGTACTGGCGGGGGCACAGGGCGCCGGCTTGCCCTCTCGCCGTGGGCCAGACGGGGGGCGTGTCGGGGGATGCGAGAGGACGAGGGAACAACGGAGATGGAGAGGGGGGAGAGAAAAACAGGCGCGCTCTCGTCGATCCCCCGACACACCACCCGCCTGGCCCACGGCGAGAGGGCAAGCCGGCGCCCTGTGCCCCCGCCAGTACCGGCCCGCAGTACCGTTACCGGTCGGTTTGGTACCGGTACCGGAAAGGTACCGATGCCTTCGGTACTCACTTGGTACCGGTACCGAAAAAGTACAGATGCCTTCGGTACTCACCTGGTACCGGTACCGGAAAAGTACAGATGCCGTCAGTACCAACAAAGTACCGGTACCGGGCCCCGGTACCGATGTTCGGTACCGGTACCCGCCGAGTACCGCGGTACCCGAGGGGGGTTCGGTACCGGTACTGGGTTTCGGTACCGGTAAAAAAACCAACACTAGGCAGGCTAGCAGAGATTGTTGAGGAAGAGGAGAGGGCAGGCTAGCAGAGATTGTTGAGGAAGAGGAGAGGGCAGGCTAGCAGAGATTATTTGTTTCAGCCCGAACCTGGTCCACCTGCAATAAGATGAATAGCGAATATCATTACGCCTTCGAGGAGGCACAAGACCGAATTGACTTCATCTTCTATCAGGGTCGCGTGAAGCCCTCCAGGTAGCTGGCACCGCCCCTTTAAAAATTTTTCGTTCGTGTTTAGGAGCCAAATGTATGGCGGAAGCGCGCCGATCAAGCCGATTCCATTCCATGCCGAAAACGACTACCCCTCAGACCATTTTGCTGTTTTTACCGACTTTGCCATTCTTTAGGGGGCAATTTTCAGCAAGTGTCGCTTTTTGCGGTATCCTTATTTATATGTATTTAAAGTTGTACGATAAATTTGCGTTTTTAGAAGTTCCGGAACTACCGGTCCATTTTACGGGCATTCAAGGGCCCGGAATGAGATTGTAAATACCGAGGGACAGGCAGTAACCTTTCGCTTATCTGGAATCCTGGCCCTCGGAATTGGGGATTCTGGAATCACGTGCTGCGAGAGAGAGAGAGAGAGAGAGAGAGAGAGAGAGAGTGAGAGAGAGAGTGAGACGGTGAGTCAGAGATTTGCAGAGCCTGACCACCTATCAAAGATTTGTGCAAACCGAATATCGGAACGCGGTAAACACTTCGCCGGCTTATTATTTGGATTGTCAGAGGTGTTTTTGGCGTTTTTGCAAGGAGCCAAGCCGAATCAGAATACCATAAGTTACATAACAAAAAACTGTAGGTTTACGTAATTACGATATGCGCGAAAAATTGTTTGAAATTCTACCGCTTCCCGATATCTTGGTTACCCGGGTTTTTTTAGCCATTTAATCTAAGTGTCCAGACACATGAACTATTTTTTTAATTGGAGAATCTTTAAGGGTCAAAACACAAGCGCTTTCCACACGATTGCCCAATCCGATTTGCCACACACGCGCTACAGAACTAAAAACGAGCGCTATCAAGCGCCAAAATTCACAAAAATTCGCGATGCGAAGACATTTCGTTGTCCGAAGATAAGCATCACGCCTCGCGAAAGCGCCGGGCGAGGGACCCGGGTTCCGAATTGATTAGTGACGGAACATTTTGGTACTGTTCTATTTCGCGGGGGGGGAACTGTGCGGGGGAGGATTTTCTTCGTTTTGTTATAACTCTTTTATATGATGCTATTTTGAGTTGTAATTAAAACTCTTAGTATAATCTTTGACACTCTATCGAATGGCATTAAAGGAATTTTTGAAAGATAACGAAAAGGTCGAAAAGGAGCTTTCGACTCCACGATCCCATGTGGAAACACCGTACAAAACTTGTTTTTGCTATAACTTTTTTATATTACAATATTTTTAGCTAAAACAAAAACTCTTAGTATATTTTTTGATGCTCTATCGAATGGCGTTGCAAAAATCCCGAGAAAATAGCGAAAAGATGGAAGTTTCCGCGAAGCATATCCCCCCCGCGAAATAGAACAGAACCAACATTTTAATCCGAATACTTTGCAGCTGAATTTCTTGCCAGAAAGGCAATAACGATTGGACGACAACTGCGACACCGGCCTCCAATGGTACGACATTTTTAAGGGAAAAATAATCTAGATTTGTTTTTTTAATTGTCTAGCGACTGGCATAAAGAAATTAATAAATTCCGTAAAAAACCTAAGAAGCTGTATAGAACCTGCGTAGTCTGGCAAGCGGTTAAATCGCACAAAAGGTATCGGCTAACAGAAATAACGTATCATAAAAATCTTTTTTTCCGTTTTTGAACTTCCACCGTTTTCCTCTCATTTATCTAACCCGTGTGGTGAACGGAAATATGCGGCTAAATAGACAAAAATTGCGAAAATGTTTTAGGACAATTTAGTGGCAAAAAATGTTTAGTTAATCCCACGTTTAGTGGCGAAAATGGCCACGCCGGCCGCGTGTCCGGACCGGAAGCCTGAACCTGCCCTCACCGCCGTTCGAGGATGACGTGGAATCGGCCAGCAAGATTCGCGGTCTGTCGTTACGTCAGTGTGAAGAGGGAGAAAAAGCAGAGAGCTCGGCATACGACACTATAGTAAGTTCTTGCTGCTCTAATGGGACGTAAAACCTTAAACTTCAATAAAAACAAACAAAAAAGAACTAAGAAACTAATAAAAGCTGTAAAATATATCTAAAACATAAATTTCTATCTATTTTTTCCAGATTGACGGCGTGCGCGTACCCCATGGATCTTGTGTAAGTCTAATAAAAGACCTTTCGAATTTAATAAATTCAGAAATACATGAATAGTATATGGACGCGACATCGGATTGCTTTTAAGGTATCGTACATTTTCCGTATCTAATTACAAATCTTTTCAGAGACTCTTACTTATTCCCACCATTTTATTCGTGCCCGCCCCACACGTGTACAACTTGGTGGTATCTGGTGCAGCAGCCTGAAGAAAAGTATGTTTACCTCTTCCTGTCCCGCCGTACGCGTGAAAATGCAGACAGGAAAGCTTTAAAAAACCCTTTGCAGCGAGGATATCGACATCAAGCAGTCCTTCGTCATTATCGACGCCTGCCGGTCGATAATCGCGCTCCTTCTGGGCGCCCTGATGACAATTGGCGTCTATAAAAAATACCCAACTCCGCTTCTCTGCTATTCGTCATATTTGGTAAGCAAACAGGTTCTTTTGTTTTATCGGGGGGGGGGGGACAAAAAAAAAATCATTTTTAGCTTCCATTTTTCCAAATATAAACAGCGGAAGCGTTTCTAGAGTGCTTTTTTGCTATTGCGGAATGTAAAAACTTTATAAAATGCATTTAAAAACAAAAACAATCTAAATTTTCCGACCAAAAATCAGCGTTTTGGAAATATCTAGTTTAAATAAGGTTCATCTTCTTAAATACAAAAACGTGTTCCAACTCCCCGCCCCGCTAATGCAAAAGCGCCCGCAAGTCTTTCACAATGATGCGCCCCCATCAGGAATTTAGTACTTTGTCCTTTCCGTTCTTCCCGAGGCGCATTTGCAGTTTTAAGCCGCTTACAATAAAAAGGGACGGGAGGCAAAGCTAGAGACACACTATTTTCAGATATTCTTCTGCCTAGTCTTCCTAATCGACACCGTCACCGGATTCTCCAACAAAGGCTTCTGGCTCGCCCTCGGCAGCATGCTGATCTATTTCAGCTATGGTGGCGTGATGCTCTATGTGACTGACCGGTTAATGAAATGCAAAATATGCTTCTAAACCTATGTTTGCTGTTTTTTTTTGTATGCTGTTGACTTCAATACCTCGGCCGCATATTCCACCCATGAATCTCGAGAAACCAAAACCAAAACTGCCTCATATAAAAACTGTACATATGTTATGGCAATAAAACTTTATGATCGCTTTGGCCGCGGACCGGACAACAACGCAACTCACAAACGGCAATGTAACAAGAGGCATATTGGGGCAAAAATGATTGATCGTTTAAAGCGAAGAAGCAAGCAAAACAAATTTTAAAAATAGACCCGCACCGCGCTTATTTACCGGCCGGCATCGGCATGTTCTGCATCTGCTCGCTGACTTTTGCCCGGAACGCGTCGGTGATCGCGGCGAGCGAGGCGCGCTTCTCGAGCAGGATTTTCTCGATTTTCTCCGTCTAAAAAAAAGAATTTGACGCGATCGAGAATCACTCACATTTTCTGTGATGTTCTTCAATTTTCGTCGGAAGAATTCTTCGGCTTTCTCGACCGGAATTTCGGCGAAGAACCCTAAACAACAATAAATGCCTCGAACGATGCAATTACCTGTTCCTAATTCAACGAGGGTAGTCTTCGGGTCAACAAGTTCGGCTCGTATATAGGTCTGAACCCAAATAAATAAAAAGTTAAACAGTGTTACCGATTCCGTGAGCGGGACCATCGAGATGTCGCCAGGCTGCTTCTTCGCTAGGCCCTCCACTGTTTCTATGCTTTGGTTCACCTGAAGAAGAATTTCCGCAAAGACAGCGAGCTTTACCTTATCCGCAAATCCCTTCAGCGACTCGAGTGAAGTGGCGAAAAAAGCAATGTCACCCTCAAGCGCCTTTTGGAAGTTATTTAGCTGCTCGATGGAGAGCTGGCTGATCGGGATCGATTGTTGTTCGGCCATCTGAAGAGTTCGATTATATTTATATCAAGAAAATAGGAGTTTTTTACAAGGAAACATAAATCAGAAAGCTCAATTTAATTTTTCTAACGATCCATTACCAAAGCTAAATTCGAGAATTCGGACCAAAATGTGGTTACTGCGCGGTGCCCACGCGTTCATAGTATCCCCGCGTTGCTCCATCATATTACAAAAATTGTGGAAATCTTGCAAAATTTTTCGTGAAAACGCTGAATAAATAGAATTTTGGTTGGCTTTTTATTAGAGAAAACTTTTCACGACGCGACGACAGACGTTGCTTTCAGTCCGACGGGTGACCAAGAGGCTCATGACGATCGTAAGCTTCAAATTTAGAAAAGTATTTTTTGTAGGAATCCCGTGTTCCGTACGAATTGGTGGACATTGGGGCCAACTTGGGCCATCCCTCCTACAAGAATGATCTCGAGGAGGTGATCAAGCGAGCGAAGGAAGCGGGTTCGCCTTTGAGCCGCATTCCACTTCTAACCTGAAGAACCTTTTGAGGTATTTGACATTTAGGCATCAAAAAATTGATGCTCACCGGCACCTCCGAAGAAATCAGCCAATCAGTGTGCAAGCTGGCCGAACGGGAGCCCGGGTTTTTATATTTTACGGCCGGTAAGCTTTTTAGGATAACGGATTCATACATGATCCTTAGGCGTCCACCCCCACGACGCCAAAGATTTCAAAGAAGGCACTCTGGATACATTGAAAACGCTGTGGGCGCACCCGCAATGCGTGGCCGTTGGTGAATGCGGTTTGTCGGTTTTAAAAAATCAAAAATTGTTTTTAGGTCTGGACTACAATCGTGATTTCTCGCCTCGACCTGTGCAAAGAGAGGTTGGAAATGCTGTGCTGAAAAACCCAAGATTTTTAGGTCTTTCAAAAGCAAGTTGAAATGGCCGTCAAATTGAAAAAGCCGTTGTTCATTCACGAGAGGGAGGCAGCCGAGGATACGGTAAACGGCCGGAACGATTTATAATTTTCGATTCTAGATATCAATCCTCACGTCATTTGGAGATCAACTACCCGCAGCGGTTATTCATTGCTTTACCGGAACCGTCGAGGAGGCCGAACGGTTTATCGAACTTGGATTTTATATAGGATTGACAGGTATTGACTTTGATCTCAAACAATTTGCGTTTTTCAAGGATTTTTGTGGAAAGACCGACTGCCGAACGGTGTGAAAGTCGCCTTGAAGACGGGCGCTATCCCCCTAAGTCGGTTGGTGCTCGAAACCGACGCTCCATTCATGTTCCCGAAAGTCAACGACAAGAAAATACCGAAGGAAATTAGGGACAAGTTGACCGAGCCGGCGCTGCAATTGCATAAGGTATCAGATTTGGCAATGGTTTCTTTGGCATTATCGCGGGGGAGATTATTTTGTATAAGTGGAGAAATGCTTAGTGGCTTCAGTTTTAAAAAAATGTAAAATACAAAACTTTTCAAAAAGTCGAAATTTGGTAAAAAACCGATCGTTTTGGTCGAGGAATCAATATTTTTGTATTTTTTGTTTAAATTCGTCAGGTTTTTACGTGTAGGAATAGTAAAAAAAAAACAATTTAGAAACACCCGCGATTTATATTTAAAAAATTCAGCCCCCCCCGATAATGCGAAAGAACCTCACAAAGTTCTAAAATTCCCTTTAGTTCTCATCCTTCGACCGAAATGAGCCCAGCACGCTGGCGGCAATTTGCGAATTGATAGCCGGGTTTATGGACGTGGATCCGGTGGAGGTAATTCATGTTTTTTTTGCAATTTCACTAATTTTTAGGTGGCCCGCGTAACAACAGAGAACGCCAAACGAATTTATGGACTTGAATAGCTTGAACTTTTCCCTCACTGATCACTTTTTTCCGTTCGCGCTCGATTATTCCGATTTCCCAATGTTGGCGAAGCATTGGGCCCATTTGTTGTTATCAATTTCGACTCCCTTATCGCTGTCGTTGTTCTGTGATATGATAGGTACGCATGTATAAATTTTGAAATTGATAAGGATTGCCGGCATCAGACAGGCTAGGAATACCTCGTATTTTACGGCGAGTGCACTTTCGGGTCAAAGGGCCAGCGGAGGTGTTTCGAATGTTCCCGCCCGCCAATCGGACGACGGGAATCCATTTTGCCCCCGGGCGCTGATAGCATTTCCAGAAAATCTATTTAGCTCACCCTGTCTTGATTTTCCGGTTCTTTCGCATTATCGGGGGGGCCCATTTTTCCAATATAGGAAAAAACCCTTTTGGCGCTATTTCGGAATAGGGGACCCACTTTTATTATACCAAAACTGGGATTTGTGCGATGTTTTCCTGGATAGTTTTGCGCGCTGGTTCCGAAAAAACACCTCACTAACTTTAAAACCTAACATTTTCACAAAAAAAATTGATTTTAGTTTAATGGGCTGCTAGGGAACCTAGCGGCGCAGGCCCGACTTTTGGCTACAATACACTCCTAGCTCCGTTTTTGAGGCTTAAACGTATGCATAAATAATGCTAAATGCTAGTAAGCCCGATCTTAGATTCATTGAGACCAAGCCTAGGCGACCCTGATCTATGTTAACGTGAGTAGAGCCCACTTGTAAACTAGGCCGGCTCTTCGCCCCTGTAACGTAAAGTAAGATCGCGATAAGCTGTTATTAAAGGGCTGCCGACGGCATGTGTCGATCCCCCCTCATCAACAAATTGGCAAGTAGCCAACAGGGGAGAGGCGCAGAGACATTTTCTTTTCCACGCGTAATCGATTTACTATGCCGTCGGCATCCCTTTAAAACACGGAAGCGTGTGTGTTCCAATACTTAGATTATACTTAGCGCACTTAACGCACTGGGACACCGTATTTCGGAACAAGCGCGCAAAATTACACCAGAAGAAGTGGTTTTTAGAGTAATCAAAGTGGGTCCCCTATTCCGAAA